ACCTTGTATTCTGCAATAATGAGATGGCTTCAGTGGACACTGTTTTAGACACTCTTGTTCCGTGCGACCCTTATCACCCTGCCCTGCGTATTAATATTTCGGCTGAGAAAACTGTACCCATACCTATAAATTCTCACAATTTTTTTAATTTTCATCAAGCATCATATCCTGATATAAACAAATTTTTACTATCTTTCAATTGGTATGACACGTTTTTGTCTCTCGATGTAAATTCTGCCACAAACGCTATTTATGATGCACTTCATTCCTGTATACTACAATTTGTGCCTAAAGTCTCCTTTACTCCCTAAAAATTTCCTGCCTGGTTCACTAAAGACCTAAAACCACTGGCATTTGATAAAAAACGTGCGCATGCTAAATACAAATCAACATGCAACCAGAGCGATTATATATCTTTCTCTTATATTCGTGCTCGCTTCAAGTCTGAATCTAAGAAATGCTATAAAGCACACCTTTTTCGTACCGAATCAGCTCTTAAGTATAATCCTCGTTCCTTCTGGGACTTTGTTAGAAAGAGCAAATCACAAAATGGTATACCTAATTTAGTCCACTTAAATGGCTCCTCTTGCACCGGCCCTGAAAAGATTTCCAATCTTTTTGCTTCACACTTCAACTCTGTTTACACATCCAATACTAGTAATAAATTCGATATGCCATTTCTCCGACATGATTTACCAAGCAACTCCAGCATTAGCATCGTAGATATTGAAGCAGGTCTGGATAAGCTAAAGAACATAAAATCAGTTGGTCCTGACGGGCTCTCTGGCATTTACTTGTACAATATTCGAAATTCCATTAGCTTTCCTCTACTGCTACTTTTCCGACGCTCACTTGATGAAGGAGTTTACCCTTCTATATGGAAAATGAGTTGTGTTTCTCCAATACATAAATCAGGTGACAAATCCGACGTTAAGAACTATAGACCAATCTCTATATTATCCCATTTAGCTAAGCTGTTCGACTCACTTGTCCTCCAGAGTATTAAACCATCTGTGAACTCTGTACTGATTGATGAACAACATGGCTTCAGACCCGGCCGCTCCCCAATAACGAACTCTATGATCTTTAACAAGTATATCTTTGAGGCCTTTGAAAAAACCTCCAAGTATATACAATATATACGGACTTGTCAAAGGCCTTTGACCGTGTAGACCACTAAGCTCTTGTCCAAGTTCTTTACAAGACAGGCTTTGGCGATCCTCTCTTGTCTTGGTTCAGGTCTTATTTATCCGACAGATTACAATGGATTAAGACCAATGGGCATAAATCATCGGTGTCTTTCGTACCGTCTGGTATTCCACAAGGTGGCCACTTATCACCACTACTATTTGCCCTATTCTTAAATGGAATAAAAAAAATCATACCAAACTGCAAATTCCTTGTTTTTGCAGACGACCTCAAGCTGTTCCTGAAAATTAGATCTATAGATGATTGTCACTTACTTCAATCTAATTTAGACAATGTGGCTTCCTACTTATGTTCACTAGGACTTAGTCTTAATGTGAAGAAGTGTCTAACTATGTCATTCACTAGAAGTCGATCTGTTATACCTTTCCAGTACATGATTTATGATTCTTCCCTTGTATTAGTCATGAGCGTGAAAGACCTAGGTATACTTTACAACCCTACTCTGGATTTTCACTCACACATTAAATCTTCGTGTTGTAGGGCACTAAATGTGCTAGGATTTGTGAAGCGAATAGCTTCCGAATTCAAGCTAGAATCATCGTTAAAAGTGCTCTATTCTTCCTTAGTTAGATCTATTGTAGAATATGGTTCCGTGTTATGGGACCCACATACAACCTCTAGCTCCCTCCAACTAGAGCGTGTGCAAAGACGCTTCTTATCAATTGCTGCCTATGTACTTAAGATAGATCATGTCACTCATGACTACTTCCCGGTGCTCACTGAACTACATCTAACTTCACTGGTTGATAGAAGAGCAACTGCTAATCTATCATTTTTACGAAAGCTCTTGGACGGATCAATAGACACCCCCACTCTTCTCTCCAGTATCAATTTTAAACTACCACAGCGTTCCCTCCGTTCTTATACAACATTCTCCATCCCAAATTGCTCTACAAACTACGGCCGTAATAATCCTATCTATCGTATGATGCGCATAGCAAATGAACAACCATCATTCAATACCTAAACTAATCTTATTATTATAATTGTTATTTACTGTTCTATTAAAAATGTAATTATTAATATTTAAATATTTAAATGTAGTTTTATACTTAGTGTACACTTGTAATGAATTGGGCTCTGCCCGTAATGTTTGAAAAAAATAAAAATAAAATAAATAACCTGTATATTTTTATCCTATATTTGCTCATAAGGCATAAGCATAACATAAGAAGAAAGAGGTGTAAATAAAATATTATATAGTTGTAATAGCATAATTATAATAATTAATAATTAAATATGTAGGTACTATCCTACTTTTGTATTTATTATTTTAGACTTTTTTGATTAATTTACTTTTTCTTATAATGTGAAACTTTTTTGCTTTTATCAGGACTAGTGTTGGACTAGTTTTCCTAGTGTAGGACTTTTTTTCCTTGATTCGTTATAATACTAGTGCATTACACATGCATAAGTAACGGAGATCGGGGTATATAAATGAGGCTGATATAATACACGGTGATTTTTTAAACATGCTCACCCTCATTTTTTTGGCTTATAACATTCAAATTCTGGTTTATAGAATTTTTAAGTATACCTACATACAGTCTATATTTTCAAATTCTTGATATTTTTTGTACTACTTAATTAGGAATGTCCTGTGATGATTCAAACATCTGTGTTTCCACTTGAGAACCTCCACGTTCACTGCAAATTATTTAGCGGGTAGTTTTCTTGAAAATTTTGATGTAGGTATCTAAATCGAAATTCTAAGACGTAGTTTCTGAGTTCTTAAAATGTTTATACTAAGGATAATAATCCTTAAATGTGGTTATAAAAATTATAGCTTATAAGCTATATGTAATATTTTATGTAGTATTAATTATATTTGGATCATTTTAACAAATTATTAATTATATCTATACAACAATATATAGAAATATATACAACAGTATTGTTGGTATTAATCTACTTAATCCGTTATAGCATAGACATTACCTTAATATACAAAGTTACATAGGTAACTCAAAAACTATTCGTTCTAATTTTGATTTAGATACATCAAAATTCTCAATAAAAAATATCTGATGTATAATTAAAAGTCAAAAAAAGGTGGGTAAGTGGATGTCGCTCTGCTGTACAGTAGGTTACAAGTGGGTCACTGTATAATAGATGGTATTAAATTTGAATCCAATGATACAATATCATTGTATAAGAAAAACGATTCTGAGCGAAGACGGTATGTCAGTCTAGGTTTAAGATAAATTATATACAAATCTATGGTATTAAAAAAAAATTGACCTATAATAAATTCCAAATTAATCATATCACATTATCACAATATCCATTACGTACTTATAACACGTTATACATCAACATCAATAACAAACCCTGATACTATCATTGATATATAATAGTACACTTTAGAAGTTTCAAGTAGGTACCCACGAATAATATTATATAATCACAACAAAATATTAAATAACTAGGTTTTTTAATATGTAATTTCGTCCAAATTTGAACATAAAATGACTATAAAAATAAACTGTGATTGTATATTTTTTAGATTTTTCGGTAAGATAATTAACTACTTACGTGGAATCTTGTTTTAAATTTTCAATCCTTAGCTATAAAAACTGAACATTTTATAACTTATTAATTACGATGATTAATAAATTTCGAGATTTTGAAAAATTCTGTCAAAATTCGATGTTTAAATGCTTATAAAAAAAAATTGTGAATATGTATTTTTAATATTTTTCAACTGATATTGTAACAATATATCAGGAGCCTTGTATTAAATTTTTACACTTTTTCGCCCAACAGATAAAACTTTATTGATATTCAAAGAAAAAAAAACTAAAAAAAATTGAAAGCTGTAAATGTCCATAAACAGCTCAAAAAGAGTCAAAATATTTTCAAAATTGTATGGTGTATAGAAAATGCTAATTTAAACATTCAGTGAAATTTTCATGTATCTACAGTTGTTCGTTTTTGAATTGCAACAAAATAAAGAAATCGCTACATGAGTAATCGAGTGAATATCCAATGTTGTAAAAATTTGAATTTCAAACGCTCATAAAAATTTAATTTGACTTTCCGGTAGAGATTTTTTTATTGATAAAGGTAGACAATCTTATGAGTAGTCTTGTATTAGATTTTCAAATCTTAGATTTAAAAAGAAAAATTTTTACGAATTCTTAACTCAAAATAATTTGCTAATTTTCGTGATTTTTCCATATTTTGTCAATTGTTGAACTTTAAATGCTTATAAAAAAAAATTGTGACTAAGGATTTTTAATATTTTTCATCTGCCTTTGAAACAATATATTAGGAGCCTTCTATTAAATTTTCAAGCTTTCGCAACCAACAAATAAAATTTTATTGATATTTCTAGAAAAAAAACTAAAAAAAAACGAAAAATGAAAATGTCCCTAAACTGTTCAAAATAAATCAAAATATTTTGAAAATGTTATCGTGTATAGAAGATGCAAATATAAACAACCAGTGAAAATTGCATGTGTAGGTACATAGTTACACCAAAAACCAAATTCAATTTTCTGAAAAATCGATTTTGCGTAAAAATTCCCGTTTTTCCTTAATTTTTCTTTTGTTTTTCTTGGCGCTTTTGAAAAGTACTGTAAATTTTAAATTTTGACCTCCCCAATGCACCAACGATATTCACTTTCCAATCGAACAAGATACTGAAGTCGAAAATCGAAGCATTATTTCGACTACTTATCGTGTACACAGATACAAAAAAAATAAAAAAATAAATAAATAAACACACATCATTGGAAAATCAATACATTCATCGTTCCACTCAGAATCTAAAATGTATTGGAAAAAAAATGTATGATACTGTAATGTCAATAAGAGACATACTATTAAACAAAACTCCAAATAACAATTATTTAGAAATTGAATACACTGCAAAAGAAATAATGTGTATGAAATATGCACCTGTCACGCCCGTTGATGTGGAGAGGTCATTCAGCCGTTACAAAGCAATGTTAAGACCGAACCGCCGCCACTTTACATTTGAAAATTTCAAGCTATATGTTGTTTCTAACTGTTTCCCACATGAAGACTATGATGAATCAGGATAGATTTTTAATTGTTTTAAATTTTTAATTAATTATTTAATAATTCTATGTTATTTTCAATTCAAATATTTAAATATTATACATTTATAAATAAATATTTATTAAGTAATAACCAAATATATATTTAAATATTTTTAATTTTATACTAAATTAAAATCCGTTCCCTATTGAAGAGATACATAATAGAAGCTAATATAAGTATAATAACACAGAAATGTCATTCTAATTTATTATTTTACTAACCTATTCACACCGTTCTGCTGTAGATACGTCAGTATTGACTTTTGTTTAAAGCTACCTTATACAACAATAATGATGTAATATATTAATATGAAAAATATCCATAATAATATATTAAATACAATAATAAAATATGCATTATTTTTGTCAAAAATTAATAATTGTAATAACGCGATTATGTGGGATCAGACATTAAACGTTTTAATGTTTCTCAGGTAGCCAGATAAACGACAAGGCCGTATTTAAACATTTTGAGCCCCGGGGAAACATATTTTTTACCTAATAAAAAGTTATTTCTTAAAATGTAAGATATAACTACTAATTTGTGATATAAATGTGATTAGATTTTGAAAATTTTATTTTGGAAACCTTTGTATTACAATGAGTTAAGAATAACTAGTGATGCAATCAGAATATTTGTCAGCCAGACTATTAGTTCCAAAATTATACACTTTTGAAGTCCACAAGTTTGTGAATTTCCACTAGTCAGTTTTTTTTTTTTTTTGTTAAATTAATTTATTAATAATTTGTTAATATTTTGTGGATCTGGGTTGAAATGCCAATTAACTAATTGTAATAACGACATGTAAAATCCCGGCATACCAAAGCCCGACAAATCACAATACCTGCAGATTTACAATCTAGTTAACAGATTGTAAATATCTTAAAAATAAAATATAAACTTTATTTTAAAAACCAACAGTCTGTAAATTATTTTTACAATAAGCCTGTATACAGGTTTTTATATTGAATATGTGAGACATGTGAGAAAAGTAGTCACGCAAGAGCAACATTTTACATGGTGATTTTTATTTAAATAACAACCAAATAACGAAATCAATTTAATCAAAAACTGATAACAATATGTATTACTTTGATGATGTGTATAATTTATGAGTATAATAATATTTATAATCGTTAAATAAAATAATATAATATATTAAGTTGTATATTTTGTGGTTCTATAATAATTCAATCATTTTAATATTATTTAGAATAATTTAATCAAATTGGTGTTTCCCACGGTCGTATTATATTAATCTCCACAAAAATGCAGCTAACTATTTTATTTTCTACATTTTTAAACATAATCGAAAGTTTATATTTTCCATAAAAATATACTTTGGGAAAGTTATTATCATCTAATTTCTTAAAGTCAATCCCTGATGTAACATATGTACCCTGAAAAAATGTATAAAAAAAATCGTTACAAATACATAATAATTTGATAGGGAAGCTCACACATTATTAATTTTATAATTATTATATTTTAATGCTTAATGAAATGGTCCCACATAATAGCATAACAATATTTAATGCGTTTGTATTATTAGTTGTTAATATTAACTTAACAATTTCAAGTCATAAAATAATATGTATTATATAATATAAATCCATTGTGGTTATTATATAATTATAGGTACAATAGGTTTTAATGTGTTTATAATATATTATATTACCACTGGTACTGGGCAGATATTAGTCATATTAAATCCCTTGGCAAATATATTCCAACCATTACCATACAAATGTTTTACACTACTGCATGCTTTTTTTGATTTGATGATATTTGAATTTGGTATCCAACCACCAGTTGAACCCCAAGATGCAAAGTTAATATCAAGCTACAAATAAATATTATATTATTTTAGGTGAGACGACTACAAACATCAGCAATTCAAGGGAAAATTAAAATAACAAACTCATAGACTATACCTTATTCAGGGGCATAATTACAGGGCATAAAGAGGATAGACCCCTCCAAATACTTTTTTTTTACTGGCGAAATTTTGATCAAAGTATTGATGAAAACATATATCCCCCCCCCCGTACAAATTCCTAATTACGCCACTAACCTTATTACTATAGTATTATGTAATATATAATATTTCAATGAATAAATAAAAACACGTTATAACTACGAGCCATATGTGTTGCCTCCGCAACATAATAACAGAGCATTATTTTTATATTATCAGTATCACTGGTCACGGAGGAATAGCTGGACTCACACACACACATATCATATTATTAGTATTGTTTTATTTTTGTATTAAATGTGTCTTGTGAGTTATATAATATGTAGATTAAACGTCATCCCACGCCGCCGTGCCGTCTATGCGAATTTTATTTATCACGGCGTCCGTGAATCTGTCCTGTTTCGTTCGTCGTTCCACGAACACCGAAGTGTTAAATAATATTATACTTGTTGTTTTTTGCTCTAATATCTAGTCATAGGCGCAATCGCCACCCTTTTATATTTAATAAATTATATTACAGCATCATGTTATTATTGTGAGCCATAAGGGCATTATTATTATTATATTGGTCCATTTTTCAATATTCATTGTATTTTTACGTGTGTGAATTGTCACTTATTATTATTATATTTTGTTATACGCCGAGTACCACGGCATATTGTATTTTTATTTAGCACAGGACCAGCTAGCTAGACTGCGCTCCACAAACTGTGAGTTTTTATTATTATATTATTATTTTACAATATTACACATTTAGTTGTTAGGCCAAAAGGGCCTTAGATATTTTATAATTATATTATCGTGCCAGAAGGGCCGCATATCGTTTTTATTTTATACCCTCATACGAGCTAACAGCTTAAATAGCTGTTCAATTTATATTTATTCTGTTTGGCCATAAGGGCCACACCTTTATTTAATATATTTTAACAACTATTATCACCATATATATTGTTGGACCAGAAGGGTCACATCATTTATTATCAGTAGCAGCTCATAAAGTTTGCCGTATTATTTTATTATATTGTTTCGATAGGGCCAGAAGTTCTGTTTAATATTATTGTAATTTATTCTGTTCGGCCATAAGGGTCGTGCATTATTATTTTATATTTTTATTATTTATTATATTTTTGGCTAAGAACGTGCATTACCTAATATTATTATATTGTTTATGCTGCTGGCTATAATAGCCGTGCACTAATGATTATATATTTATTTACTATCATATTTTTTATACATTTATGTTGCTGTGATTTTATTATATATTTGTATTATTATTATTATTGTGTATTATACAGCAACATTACAGCAACTTATTACCATTTTATTATTATTTGTTTCATTGTACATACATATACACATTAATACACAAATACACATAATCCACAACAAGCACTACATAGCCGATAGTAATTACTAGGCGATCCCGACCACTGCTGTTCGAGCTATTACACCATTACACACCCAGCTAGTCTTCCATAATATATTTTTTAGACCTAGGTGTTAATGGCGTAAAAAAAAAAAAGAGTTTATTAATTTTCGGGGTGGGCTATAGCTGATAGAAACTAGAATGTGATCTATTACTTAGAGGCTACTGTCTACCATATATTTAACAGTTTCTATAAATATATTCGTATTTGTTATTTTTCAACAGGCCATCAAATATTATAACTTATAATAGTACCTAATAAAATATATTGTTGTTCCATTTAAAAAGACTGTAATTTCGGGGGGTGCTGCAGTCCACTATACCCGCCCCCTATAAATGAAACAGATAGTAATAATAGTACCTACATGACATCACCTCAAAATTTCAAATGAATCAGTTCGGTAGATTTGGCGGTACGCCTCACAGTGGTCTGAAACGTTATTTTATGCGCTTAAAAGTCCTATTTCAAAATTTGTTAAATAAAAAATCTCAAAACTACATAATCACATATGTTCCTTAGCTCAAATATAAAATTTCACAATCATACAGTATTGTTATTTTTGCCTTGTCAATAACTATTTGAACATGGGAATAATTGTACATCTTGGAAGTTTGTTTTCGTAATTTTTAATTAAACTTAATATTTTATTTATTAGGAAAATATAATTTTTTTTTAAATTTAAAATTTAAAGATGAATAAAAAAATATTTATTCAATTTTTTTTTTTATCTGTAATACGAAGTTATTTGAAAATATTTTTAATTTTGAGATTTTTTTTCGTATTTTAGAGTGTCAATGAAAATACTCAATTTTACACAAAATCTGATAAATACACATAAAATAATGAAAGTTCCCAGGATTCTGGAAAAGTAATTTTTTTTGCGTCCATGGGGAATTATTGCGTACAGAAATTATTTCTGTTAAGTTTGTTGCAAAAAAACATGAACAAAAACATAATACTTTCGACGGTTGAAAAAAAAAAAAGGATAAATATATTTTAATCTACCTAAATTTTTGAACGGAACTACAATGAAATAATAATAAAAAGAAAATTCCAAAATTAAATATTAAAGTTAATGAATTAAATAGGTACAAAATGTATATTTTGTTGCGAATATTGCGATAAGCTATACGAAAATAATTTCTGCTACTACACAATAATTCCCCTTGAACGCAAAAAAAAATAACTTATACAAAATCCAGGGAACTTTCTTTATTATATGTATGCAACAGATTTTGGGTAAAAGTGAGTCATTTTCACTCTAAAATACAAAATAAATCCAAAAATTTAAAATATTTTCAAATAACTTCACGTATTTTCAATAAAAAAAAAATTTGAATAAATACTTTTTTATCCTTCTAATATCATTAATGTGTATTAAAGGAAATAACATAAAATTTAAAATTAAAAAAAAAAGTTTTATGTTATATTTCACTGATAAATAAAATATTATGTTTCATTAAAAATAACGAAAAAAAAGTCGAAGACGTAAAATTTTCATGTTCAAATAGTTATTAAAAAGGTTAAAATAAATGTATGATTGTGAAATTTTATATTTGAGCTAAAGAACAATGAT